TGGCAGGACAGGAGGTGGGACTTCAGTGGGTGGAGTTAATGTATATAAGGGGGGAGTGAATGCGGTGAGGAGAGAATTGAGAGGATTGAGAGAATTAAGAGCATTGAGAATTGGGAGATGGGAAGATTGGGATGAGATAGGAGTCGGTTAGGAACTTGGTTAGGGTGTTAGGGCCTGTTTATTCATGTTATGAGGTACTGTGCTAGTGTAGGTCTGAAAAAGAGAGTGATTGAGGGGGATACTTTATCACATTGATTGCCTTATTTAGTTTCCACAGTGATTTACTATTATTTATGTTTTCTCAATAAACAATCCTTTTTATTTTGAAATCCATACCATTGCCTGATGAGTCAGATCAATAAGTGTGGTTGGTGGCAGTGTGTAAAGTGTGAATGAGAGAGACGTGACCGTTGTGACGTGAAAGGAGGACGTCACATCCACTTATATTTTAATAGTGAAACCTTTGCTTTTACTTGCATATTGGGCCAAGAGGAAGAAAGATGCCACTAAGATTCTTTCTTAGACCCTCCTATTCTGCAGTCCATGTATAAGAAATTCATATGTGTATTCTTAATTTTTTCTGTTCTACCTCCATTCATTTTCTCATTCCACATCGATGAATAGTCAGCCACCGTGTTAGCTCAAGAATCATCTAGTCTAGGAAGAGCTTTGCAAATGAATGTGTAGAGTTAAATTTTAGAGTCAGAGGCATGTTCCATCAACTAGGGCAAGGGAAACAATCACAGATAAAATGTATTATTCGGGCAATATATCTTTCCTCTGATCTACAGATAAACATCTTTTTGGTATTTCAAATGCCATTTACCTTGTCGCAATTCTCCAAGACTTGGGAATATTCCTTCAGCTTCAGATGACACATGGCCAGGTTAAGATGGGCAGCAAGCCGCAAGTTTCTGGCCTTTGCCTCCTCCTCATCAGAGAGTCCTGTTTCATGCTCCAGCCACAATACAATCTTCTTATACTGTAAAGTTGCACGTTTATATCTTCCCTCCTGGAAGGCAACAGATTATAGTAGTGTTTCAAAATCAAACGGGTGAAAAGGCGAAATTCCCTACCCTTGAGATGCCCAGGGCCAAAGTTGTAATTTTCAAGAAAAGATAACTGCACATGAACCTGTTCCAAGCTATCAACTCCATCACCCACACCAGAAATATGAAAATATAGAAATAGTTTCTTAAACTACAACAAATCAATTAATCTCAAACATTTTTAACTTGGTGTGATAACAGATTAATAAAAATAATACACTGTTAAGTCAAATCTGCCTAATATATAAATAACATACCACTGTGTTGTGCAATAAGTCAACAAAAGGTTCATAAAAATCACTGTTCTGTTTTGTCACACAACTATGTATACAAGGGATACAACTGCCCTTGCATCTCTGGGCAATTTTTGGTTCAGTCTATTTGACAAATATGAAAAAACTTCTACTCTTTCAAGGCTTTCAAGAGTATAAAATCAGCTATTGGCAGAGGTGCTCAGGGTGTTTGGGCTCAAAAACACCCTGGATGCATGTGGCCCACAGTCTGCGCTTTGCCCACCTTTGTAATAAATCAATCTTATGAGGTAATCTCAGTCTGGAAACTGAAAATCTGTCCTTATTGTTGAAGAACTGGACAGAGAAAGCTTACATCTCCCACAGCTTGAATGCCTCTCTTCCTCCATTGTTTATATGTGCTAACTTCAGACTGTTTGCCTTATCACACCTGTTCTTTTTAAACTACCATGTCAAAGGATGGCACTACATAATTAAGAGCAACTCTCAATGGCTCCTATTGTCTAGGTAGTTATTCTAATGTTTGCAACACTTTCATGTTCTTTCTGCTGCATGATGGATCCCTTCCTCCCTCCAAATCTAGAGTGGTCTCCTGTAATTGTTTTCCTTTGAAATCCAAGCAGTTTCTTCTTTTTGATACAAAGTATTATCTGTGTACAGCAGGACCATGCCTTCCCTCTTAATATCAGAGAGTTTTAACCCCTTACGTGTGGGCATACAGTGGGGTCTCGATTTACGAACTTAATCCGTATTGGAAGGTGGTTCTTAGGTCAAAAAGTTCTTAGGTTGAATCTGCATTTCCCATAGGAATGCATTGAAAACCATTTAATCTGTATCTGCTCTTTTCCGTCCATAGAAACTAATGGGAAGCTGCTATTCCGCCTTCTGCGACTAGAGGGGGATATTTTTTTCTTTTTTCCCCCTTAGGTTCAGGAAACGAGGAGGAAGGCATGGAACAGTTTGCAAAGCACTTTAGAAATCTTTTTTTTCAACCAAGCCAATTTTAAATCATCTTTTAAAGCATGTTGTGCTGATTTTTTCAGCACAAAGACACACAGGCAGGCTTTTTAGGTGCTGAGCAAGCCTCCCAAAGCCTCTTCAGAGGCAGCCCATCAGCTGATAGGCGGGGAGAGGAGGGTGCAGGAGGGGGGGGAATCACAAAATGGCTGCCAGACTCCCTTCTGGGTGTCGGCTTTTAGCTGTTTCCTGCTCTTTTTCCTGCTGTTTGGGGGCTATCAAGGCCTGGTAAGTGACTTTCTTTTATTTATTTTTAAGTTTCTGACCCTTTTCCCCCTCCAGAAGCCTCTAAAGGGAGGGAGGGGGCACTTTTTTCCTGTACGTAACTCGAGGGAAGTTCGTATGTCGAGTCCTTATTTCCCCTATAGGGCGGGTTCGTAAGTTGAATTGTTCGCAAGTAGGGTTGTTCGTAAGTCGAGACCCCACTGTATAGTTATTTCCTTCAATATTTAAAATATTTACAAATGTTCTGTGCTATCGCTTACCTGCTCATACACCTGATCACAAAAGCTCAAGTACCACAAGCACAATCTAATATGCCAAAATGTTCACAATAGTACAGTGAAGTATATATTGAAGATGCTGCATGGCACATTTAGTTTGATTTCCTGGTTTTGCAAGATCCTAGTAAAACCATGCACCTAAAAGCCAGCTCCAATGATTTAGAGCACTTGTTCTCCAGTACAGAAGGAAATTAAGCCAAGGGATCCGTATTCTAGCTTCAGCAGAACATAACAAGAGTACAGTACACCCAACCAAGCACATGCTCCACTACAAAAACCTGCCAGAGGAAAATATAAAATTCTATACTGTATTATACTTACTTTGAAATACTGGGTACCCTTTTCCTTTGCAATAGAACCTTGCTCCAGCTTCTCTTCAGTGTTCATTTCCCAGGACTCCTTAGCCTGTGAAAACATAGATAAACTAATTAACAGGAAAGCCCACAGATGAATGGCATGGTACTGTATGGCATCTCTTAATTATATATACCCTGTACATCTAATATCAAGAGCGAAAAGGCCCTAATTAATATGGAAGGATTTGGAACAATCCATTTGGATAACTTAGAATGACTTACCATAAAGAGGACAACTGGCAGTGAAAAGAAGAGATTTGTTTTATTTATTTATTCATTTATTTAATTATAGTCCTCCTTTCTTCCAATAAAGGAACACAAGGCAATGTACAACAATTTAAAAAATTCATGTGTATAATCACATTCAACTGAAACCTTATCATTACAATAGAAATAAACCAAAAGAATGATAAAAACATAATTTAAAAGGTAACTTTAAAAAATGTTGACTAAAATATACTGAACACCCTTCTAAAAATACAATTTTGCAAGGACATTTAGAGGTTAAACACCAATTTGGGAAGGGAGGGAGGAGAACTGTATGTTTAAAAGACAACCTTTCTTATTTTCAAAGAAGTAGCCTTATTAGGCTGTGTAAGGATGAAACCAAAAAAAAGGGGGGGGAGAGAAGAAAAATAGCAAAAGAAAAGGAAAATAGGAGGGACAGACACACATAAATTTGTGGCACCTTAAAGATTAACTGCTATGCTTTAATGTGAGCTTTCATGGCCTGAGAAAGTGGAGTTGATCACAAAAGCTTACATTCAAATACAGCAGTCATTTGCTTCTTTTTTCCTCATATGCTTTAGTACTGCCAACATTTTATTCCCTTCTATTTTCTCTTTATTGTTGAAGAGTGGCCAGTCAATCAGTTGTATCAGGTTGGGTCTAAACATGGATGGGTGACTATATTTGGGCATTATCTGCTATAGGTTACCTACAATGGTAGTAGTTGTTATATCCTGTCAATACATCTTTGACTTATGGTGATCCTACAAGAGTGACAGCTACCTACAAAGATTAAGAAAGAGAATGAAACCTACCTTGCATAAGGTGGAACCTGCTATGTCAAGTTGATCCTAAAAGGTTGCAGATTCCATTTTGGAAGATACTTTAAAAAAGAAAGCCAAGTCTCAACAACTGGCCGTTATGACTTTTAGGACTCTTCCATTTCTTCTGCCCAACCCCATCTAGAGCGCTGCAATGCCCAGCCTACTGAAGAGTCTTGGATTCAAAATCTAGTCTGTTTCTTAAACTTTAGTAGCCTGACCAACCTTGTTATCCTCTCTTGTTTTCAGACCGAGGACAAATATTACACAGCCTTTTTCTTATCTGTTGAACATGGTCTATTTCAATAAGGTTAATTATTCTGTAATTTTGGGCATACTTTAACATATTACAATTACTGCTACAAGAGTTAATATATGTATTTTCAATGAAACAAGAGTATACATTTGAAAACACGTATATTGTCAGTATCACTTAAATACCATAATTTTATTTCTGTAAAGCATAAAATATCTAACCCATGACAGATCCCAAATTTTTATCAAGCATCTTCCATCGATTCTATCTTTTCTCTTGCTAATTGGTACGCAGGAAACCCTGACTTTAGAATCTGATTACTTATCACAAAGAAGAAATCAGGTATCACTGCACAGTAAAGAAAGGCAGATTCTCTTCAGAACAATGCTTAAACACTTATCAGAGTTTAAAAATAAAATATTTTAAAGGCACTTAAATACCATATTCCTTGCATATATTTATATTTTAAATGCATTGAAATACTGGGTTCTCTCCTGATTCAGATGCTACTGAGAAATAAAGCTATGGTTGACTAGGTCAACCATAATGGCACCAGACTAGGTCTGACAATGACTCCCTGCAACAGGGCAAGGGGTTAATTTTCAATGTATATATCCTTTATCAAGAAAATAAAATGGAGATAGATGGGACTATGTGTGAACCAAACTGATCTGATTATTCTTAACTTCGTCACTTAATTTCACATTCTGCCACTATACTACTATTTTCCAATGAGGAACAAGCAACACTTTTAATCAACAGGTAACCATCAAGTTAAAGTCTATTGCAACTTCACTTCAATTATTTCCTCTTCCACACATATGCAATGACCTGATAAAAACAAACCCTCTGCCAATCCCCTTTTCACCAGAAGAAAAACTTTCTTTACATACCTTTTCAAAACTTTTGAGTTTGACTTCATACCGTAGTTCTGCATCTGGAGGGATCTGAAACTTCGGTTTCCCAGCACTTCCAAAGCCATAGCTAAATGAGAAATATGAAACTTCAAAGTCAGCCTTTTCTTTTGTCCTTGAAAGATTTCTAACTTTGAATGTTCATGTAGTGAGGAATTATTACTTACTACCCCATCCCAAAAGCAGAGGTGTTAATATCAAAAGGGTCATTATCCCTTCATTGTCACAAAACATAACATGTCAAAAACATAATCATCAGCTGGCACATTACTTCCAAGACTTTACAAAGAATCTCAGTGAGGTATGAAAGGGTGGGAGAATCCTAAGAATACATCCAATTCCTAAAATGAAGTCTATGACAAGAATGCGCTCTGCCCATTCACTCAAAGGTGTGGCAGGACCACGTTATGGGAAAGAATATACTGTACCTGGGTTTGAGATAGATCACAGACTCTTCTGTCTTCTCCATTTTTTGCAGTGCTTTGTCTAGGCCTGGAGGAAGGTCATAGTTTTCTCCCTCTCCTACTTCAAACCGCAGCTCTCGTTTGTCAAATACTCTGTTTTCATGCCAACCCTCTATCTCAACTGGTACAAAACAAAGGGGAACATATATAGATGGAATTATTGAGGAGGTATACAATGAACTACTCATAACACTCTTAAATATCTTCAGAACAAAAAATCATAATCATCTAGCATTTTGAAAGTGCAGCTAGGGATGAAACACACTTACCATTAGGCTAATAATACTCTAAACAAAAGTTACAAAACAATTAGTTTTTTAGCAGTAGTTCCCAAGGTTAGGTAACCCAGGTGTTCTTGGACTGCACCTCCCAGAAACCCCAGCCAGACAGCTATTGGTGAAGGCTTCTGGGAACTGCAGTCCAAGAACACAAGTTGTCCCAGGTTGGGAGCCACTGTTCTAGGACAACACACAACACTGTGAGTGATGCTTCAAAGTTACATAGACCACTGGCAATTATTTTTTTATTTCTAAAGTCTTCCTTTACCTATCCTGAGGCTCTCAAAGGCTTCCGCCAGACAAACAGAGCCCTAGAACCTCAGAAGCTGAAGCAGGGGGACAAGAAGCTTCAAATCCATTTAAATTAATTATTTCCCAGATCTGCCTCCAGTTTACAATGGCATAACTGCATCAACAGGATTTTGCCCAATAAGTGACAGAGAGAAAAGAGAATTAGAATTAGAGGAATGTTACTGCAGACATTAAGACAATTTTTTAAAAACCTTTAAATACACTAGAACCAAGAAACTAACTAGGACAACAGTTGGACAAAAGAGTTAAAAACATTTTAAAGGAGGATAAAGGGGAGAGTAGCTGAATAAATTATCTGCATCTGTTGTCACTATGGATGGCATAAAGAACAATAAGTTAACTGACATTTTCAGGAAGGCACTCTGAAAACTGAGATAAACAGTGGTGACATGGAAACAGATTCAAGACATTAGCTAAAAAAAGAATATAAATATAAACTCCTCTTATCTTCTAACAAAAATTTCACCATGTCTCTAAGATTGCCGTGTGTTCCACAGAAGTGGAAAGCACCTCTTTTCCTCAAGGGATCTATGGAGATGTTGGAAATTACAGGCACATTCATTTAACTTCCTTCCAGATAAATGTATGAAAAACAATAATACAGTAAAAATAAAATTATCAAGCATACAGAAGGGCAAGTACTACTGAAAATCAACCAAAATGGTTTATGCAAAACTAAATCCGATCTCATTAACCATTAGGAGTTGCTCAAAACTGTCAGCAAGCATGCTGGCAGTGGGTGATCTCCTAAGTACTGTTAGGTTCAGATTATTAAACTCCTTTCCCTGCCCTTGTAGTAACAGTGGATAGAATTTCGTTTCCCTTCTTGCCCCCCCACCCCAGTGTTTCTGTATAACATCTGAAATCTAGGTCTGGAGCATTTCCCAGCTCTGATTCCAAAGAAACACAGGATGCTTCAGAGGGAAAGGGGAATCTCTCAAAAACATAACAAAGTGGAAGGCCTGTGCTTAGTACTGCCCTAAAATCCCTTTACCAAAGTGTCCTTAGCAAACTCAGTGGTCATACAATAATAGATCTTCATCAATTAATAACTGGTTAATGAACAAAGAAGCAGAGACTACATCAAAATGGGAGAATGTGAAAAGGTTGTTCTGGGTTTTTCGGGCTCTTTGGCCGTGTTCTGAAGGTTATTCTTCCTGACATTTCGCCAGTCTCTGTGGCCGACATCTTTGAAACGTCAGGAAGAACAACCTTCAGAACACGGCCAAAGAGCCTGAAAAACCCAGAACAACCATTAGATGCCGGCCGTGAAAGCCTTCGTGAATATAATGTGAAAAGGATCCAGTAATTTTGAAATGTGTTCATAACTGAACTGAAATTAGAAATAGGTACTGGGAGTTTGTGGGTGAAACCAAATTATTCAGAGTGAGAGAAAAAAGAGGGGCATAAAGAGCTCACAGTACGTTCCAAAATTAATACAGTATTAATAAGTGTAAAGTGATGGATAACAGAGCAGGAAATCTTGAGTTCATTATACACAAACACTGACGATATTTGAACTCCCACTAGGAAAGAGATCCTGTGGATTTCTTTGTTATGTGACTTCCAAAATGTCCTATCATTAAAAGCACTGCTCAGTTGTTGCAAATTCAACACTGTTGGCTTTCTTTATTGAGTTAATCATTCTCATATTTGGTTTTCTTTTTTTCCTGTTGCCCTCAACCTTTCCTAGCATTAGTGTGTTTTCCAGCTGGTCTTCTCTTCTCATAATGTGTCCAAAGTACAATACCTTCAGTTTAGTCATAGTATTATCATCATCATCATCATCATCATCATCATCATCATCATCATCATCATTATTATTATTATTATTATTAGTATTAGTATTAGTAGTAGTAGTAGCAGCAGCAGCAGCAGCAACAGGAGTAATCGTCGTCTCATCTAAAATTGCAGTTTGAAGTAACCAATTATTTTTCCCCCTGCCACCTTTCTTTACTGTGCAATTAGATAGGCACGAATCACCAAAGCAGTGGTCCGTGGTGTTTGTTTGTTTGTTTTTGCCAAGCAGGTGTTCAGCACTTCCCATCTCCATCTCCTCTGGTGGGCGTCCACTCAGAGACAGAGCTCTAGCTTCCCTGCCCCGACTCCTCCAGGTGCTACCTCTGAGCAAGTGCCTGTTGGAGAAGGCAGGGCTGGGAAGTGACTAACACCAGTTCAGTTAAAAAACGAACCAGCATAAACAAATCATACCCATCAGGCATGTAACCAGGTACACAATGGAGACACACCACAGCACTTTGTCAAAATACCTGGATTAGTCATGGCAAGTTACACAAACCTTAAGCAAACACCAATAGGATTCTGTCCAGCACACAGTTAAACTACCGAATTTGTTATTCCAAGATGTGAAGATGGCCATCAGATCAGGTGGCTTTTAATGAGGATTAAGACAAAATCAGGGAGGATGGTATTACCAAATACTACTAGTTCTGAATCAAAGGCAGTGTGCTCCTGAATATGAGTCAATGAGAAAACCCCTGTAAGAAACAGTGTTTGGCTTCATCCTCTACTTGCTGGCTGCAGTGGGAAACAGGATGATGGATTAGACAGGCCTTTCATCTGATCCAGCCGGGCTCTTCTTATGTTTTTTACATTCTTAAGGGAAACAGGAGCTTTCTCCAGGAGGAGCTGTGGTCAGTGAATACAGATCCCTGAACTGCATCCAGAAATCAAGAGTTGGATCAGCACTATTCACCAAGGTTCAGATTCAAAAATATCTCAATCTAATATTGTCCAACTACAAACACTCACTCTCCACTAGGGCTCCCTCATTGGGTTTGGAGTAGCCTTCTCCTTTTTTACGGATTCTTCGGATTATTCCCCCATCTTCTTCATCTGTGAGATCTTTCCCCTTGAACTCAAACAGTTCTATCTAAAGAAAAGAAGAGAACAATGGAAACAGAGCTGTAATCTTTTTACAAAACTGTGGTAAACCCCTTGAAGGCTGACCTAGTCCCAAAACAGGAGGGAGAGCATAATTAACAGAAGTGTGACTTTGCAAGCCAAATCATATTAGCAGCTTAGAACATCACAGCTGAAAGCTTTTATAAGGTGCATATAGAATTCAGAGCAACATGGTAACTCTGCTATGGAGAGATGTTTTATAAACAGTCTAAAATGTTTTCAGTGCTACATGGTTTATTAAACTAAGATGCTGACTGCTAAAAATTCATAAACTCATGTATAGTTTAATTTCTGCTTAAAGCAAAACACTCAGACATTACTTTAATTTAGTAGCATATGGCTGATACTTTTGATGACCTGAGGAAACAAAATACACTTAAAAGGAACAAGTTTATTGGATACAATATTTCAAGGATTGTAACACATGAATGAACACTTATTGCAAACAACATTTTCGAGCCTTTCAGTCCCACAAAACTTTATTATTTTTGCTGCAATGAACTAATATGACTGTGCACCTTGGAGTTTTTAAATACCTGATGCGTCTCAAGTCAAAAGGAAACCAAAGAGGGAAAGGAAGATTACAGGAGACTACTTCCCGTCAAAACTTCTAATCTCAGTGAAGACAGGGTAGGCACAGCAATTTTGCTGCCGGTTGGAAAGAACCACTTTCTTTTCCTTTTTAAGAACAAAAGTTCTATTCTTTTATAATGTACCCCTTTGTTTTTGTTTTTGTGTTAATACATACCAGAAATGTAGACTAATCAAATCTCTTTTTTTATGAAGACATTTCAAAATCCGTTATTAACTTTATCTCTTGTTCAAACTTTAAATGCATCTGTTGGACACCAAGAGCATATCAGTGTTGTAAAAAAGTATGCAAAGGATTAAATAAATGTTATTTACCAGCAACAGCTCCCGCTGTACAGAAACAAAAAGTGCTTTGTATCATTTCTGCCTATTTCCATCTCTGAAACCAGCAATGGGCATCATTCATCCTGAAGGCCACACGTAGTCCTAGCACCCCTGACCTCCCCAAAAGAGACTTATTTTGATGGGCCTCAACATCTCTGTGCTCTCCAAATCCTTGTTCTAGGGAGAAAATGTATTTCTGGTCACTAGGTGGCACAAATGAACTTTTTCAGTTAACACATTTTAGTTAAACCATTTAAAGAGTTACTGTACATAACTATTTTAAGCTAGAAAAATAATAATAATTAATTAAAAAACAGTTGTAACCATCACAGTATATAGCCTTGCTTTAAGTTTTTCAAATGTGCAAATCAGCTCATTTGGATCTATCCTCTTGGGAGTGCAGCTATCAGGCTGTTGGCAGATTGGCAAAATGGCCTTGGCCTGTGGAAATCACCCATTCCTGTCTTGTGCTATCAGTCAGCAAACAATTTTTGCTACAAATTGGATACCATGTTCCTAGGATTCAACCACTGGACTTCTTTAGACTGAAGGGGTGGCTAAAGGGGCTGTGGCTAGAAGACGATAAACGACTTCACAACACAGTTACTGTAGGAACTGGATTTGTTGAGACTGGATCAAGACAGCAAACAACTTCTAGGGCCTCTTTGGGAGAGAAAACATAATACCTAGGAATTAAATAAAGAAAAGGGAGGTTATTCCATTTGTACAGATGTAAGATCCTGTAGATCTGATCCAGGAAGCCACTGATTTTCCCTTCATGGTCTGTAAAAGAAATATGCACATTCTGTAGTCTCAGAATCCAGTTCTTTCTTGACAAGTCACATTTCTGCACAAAATGGCTCATCACCTTTAGAGACTATATACTGGTGGTGTGATTTAGTAACATAATTTTCTTTACCCTTCCTTCTTTCATCACACTTCAGTTAAATCTGATACAGCTGACAAGTTGCACAGAAATTTATTTTGGAGGCAGACTTATGTTTTGTCAATTGTTCTTCTCTCATAGTCTTAAGTCTGAAGGGCTATAACTGTACAGTACCTATCCTGGCCTAAGGAGTAGCTGAACAAATAATGTACATAATCCCAGTCTTCTATAACTTCAAAACCATTTAAACATTGTTCTTCTCACACCTGTATCAATGGGTGACCACACTAAGATACATCTCTGCCTCACATATTATATACCAGGGCTTCTGAAACATCTTGAATGCAGTCCTCCATCAAGAACAGACTACTGTATGTTAGAACCCCACTTCCCAAGCCCCATAGCAGTCATTTCTCCAGCGGGCAGGTTCACTCATAGCTACAAATCAGAGTGCCGAAAGAGCCATGGACTGGAGCACTACGCCAATAAAGCCATTAGAAGATGACAAGAAGAGACAAACTCGCTCTTAAAATCAAGCCACCACAGGAGGCAGAAAGGACAAGAAATACTCAGTGCATCAAAAGCTACCTGATATTCATTCCATTTGTGCCATATTCCTGCACCTTCAGTAGTCTAAACCAGTGGTTCTTACTTTTCATTCTACTGCCCCCATGAAAAATGAAATGATATTCATTCGGGCATTATTGCCTACGTTAAGAACCACTGGTCTAAACCACAATGGTGGTGCAAAGCTAAACAACTGCTGCAAGCAGAAAAGTTTTTTTTCTCTTGACCTGCCATTCCTTCTATGCCATCTGCATTCACTTTCTGGGAATGGAAGCAAGGCCAGGTCACAAAGGAAGAGTACAGATAACAAAATAATTGCAAGGATAGTATTAGGAAGGCAAAGGCTGAGAACAAGCTGAAGTTAGGAACAAATGTTAAAAGCAACAAACCAGTCTTCAGGTACAAGCACAGCAAAAGACGGAGAAAAGAAACAGTGATTCAGCTATTAGCTGGGAATGGAAAAAAGGTAATAGATGGCAAAGAAAAGGCAGAGATGCTCAATTCTGACTTTAGCTTGGCTTTCTCACAAAAGAGAGTATATGTCCCTCTTGGCAAATGTGGAGGGGACAGGACTGCAGTGTGAGAAAGACAAGACAAATTGTCAAGGAATACCTTCTCACTTTGAATGAATTCAAATCTCCAGGGCTGGATAAGCTGCATCCAAGAGTACTGAAGGACCTGCCTGAAGAAGTCCCAGAACCACTGTCTATCCTTTTCTTTAAATCATGGAGGATGGGTGAAGTGGCAGATGATTGAAGGACAGCTAATATTGTCTCTATATACAAAAAGGGGGAAAGGAGGAATCTGGGAACTACAGACCAGACAGCCTGTTATCAAGCTCGGAGAAAATTCTGGAACAGATTATAAAGCGGTTACTCTGAAAGCAATTTGAGAACAATGCAGTAATAATTAAAATTTAAGACAAATCTGTCGGCATACATCCACCCAACTACCCCAATTAGCGGCGCAGTCACTACTCAGGGCAGCAAATACATCAGAATAATACAAACAACCTCAATAACAGCCACATAATTGATAAATGTGAGATGTAATAACAAAAAATAACTACCGTATTTGCCGGCGTACAAGACGACTTTTTGGGGCCAAAAAACATGCCTCCAAGTGGGGGGGGTCATCTTGTACACCGGGTGCACTGAATGACGCGGGGCCACGCTGGCTGGGGAGGAAGGCAGGCGGGAAGGCAGGCAGTCGGTTTGGATGGAGGGAAGCACAGCCTGCCATGCCTGAGCGGCCAGAAGCCACCGCCGGGCTGCCTGCCGCCCCGCTGAGCCAGCCATGCGCTCGCTCGCCTGCCACCCGCCCGTTTTCCCTTTCCTCTCTTCCTCCTCCTCCTCCTGTCGCCGCCCACTCAGCCTCTTCCGCTCTTCCTCGCTCTCTTGCTGCCATGCCTGAGCCGCTGCGGGGCTGCCCGCCGCCCCACCCCGCTGAGCCAGCCGCGCGCTCGCCCGCCCACCACCTGCCCGTTTCCCCTCTTCCTCCTCCTCCTGTTGGGGGGGGTCGTCTTATACGGCCGGTTGCCTTGTGCACCAGCAAATACAGTTGTTAAAAAATAGATAAAAAATTAAAAATACTAAATATATTAAAGTTGGCTAAAACAGGGCAAATACATAAACAAGAAGGGGCTAATCATACCTCCAGTGGTAGCAAGTTCCAAAGTGATGGAGCAACCACTAAGAAGGCACAATTTCAAGTGACAGATTTTCAGGCCTCCCTCGTGGTCACTATCCACAACATCCCAGTGTATGAGGTACAGGTGGGATGAGTAGACGTTTCGAGGGAGAGGCGTTCAGACAGGTAGCAAGGCCCTAAACCATTAAAGGCTTTATATGTTAACATAAGCACTCTGAACTTGGCCCAGAAGCATGTGGGCAGGCCGTGTAAACATGTCACAATAGGTGAAAGATGATCAAATTATGATGCTCCAGAAACCAGCCTGGCCACTGCGTTCTGCACTTGCTGCAGCTTTTGAACTGCCTTCAAAGGCAGTTCAATGCAGTGTTTTGCAACAGTCTATTCTCAAAATTACATGCGCATGGACCAGTGTTGTTAGGGACTTCCCCTCAAGATAGATAGTGGGAATGTTGTAGATGTAATCAATCTTAACTTCAGTAAAGCCTTAGACAAAGTGCCCCATAATATTTTTATTAACAAGCTAGCTAAGTGTGGGCTGGATAGAACAACTGTCATGTGGATACAGTTGGTTACAGAATTGTACTCAGAAAGTGTTTATCAATGACTCCTTCTCAAAATGGGAGGAGGTAGCAAGTAGGGTACCCACTAGGCTCAGTCCTGGGCCCAGTGCTCTTCAACATTTTTATTAACGACCTTGAGTGCAGGGAATACTTGCAGATGATATAAAAACGATGGTATAGCTAACACCTTGGAAGAAAGAAACAAAATTCAAGAAGGTCTTGATAGGCTTGGCTTGAGCACTGGACTGTAAACAACAGAATGAAATTTAACAGGGATATGTGCAAAGTTCAACACCTAGAGAGAGAAAAAAAAATAGTTATAAGATGGGGGATACTTGGCTCAGCAATACTATGTGTGAGAAGCATTTTGGCATTCTTATAAGTGGCGCCTCGACTTACGAACGTCCCTACTTACGACCATTTCGAGTTACGATCAGCTCTGGCCGCAAAATATTGATTCAACTTGTGACCGAAGCTTCGAGTCCCCACCGGAAAAAAGGCAGGGAAAAAGGTGGGGAATTCAAAGTGCTAACCATTGGTGGCGAAGAGGCTGCTTCTTTGTAGCTCTTTCGTCCCAATGGTTAGATAGTGTGCATTTGTAGGGAGGCTTTGTACTGCCTGGTTTCTGCTTCTGAGTGAGGATGTACATTTGCAGGGAGGCTTTGGACTGCCTGGCTTCGGCTTCTGAGTGGGTACATACAAGATTTTTTTGTAGCATGGATTTGGGCTGGGGGAGGTTATGTTTCTGTGCAGTGATTTGTGTGTGTGTGTGTGTTGTTGTTGTTTTCCGGCCCCAGTGCATTCCAATGGGGCTTGAGGGTTGTTTTGGATATTTTTTCCTTCAGTCCCAGCGTATTCCAATGGGGCTTGCAATGTTGTTTTGGTGATTTTTTTGGCTGGAAGGGATTAACAGGGTTTCAATGCATTCCTATGGGAAATGGTGCTTTGACTTATGACCAATTCGAGTTACGTTCCATCTTCTAGAACCGATTAAGTTCGTAAATCGAGGCATCACTGTAGATGAATGTGAGCCAATAGTGCAATGTGTTTACAAAAAAAGGCAAAAAGCAAATAGCATTTTAGGCTGCATTAACAGAAGTAGTTACTCAGCATTTGGCACTGGGTAATCATCTTGAATACTGCGTTAAGTACTAGACACTATACTTCAAGAAGGATGATGATGAAGTGGAACAAATTCAGAGGAAGGCAACAAGGATGATCAGGGAACTGGAAACCAAACCCTATGAGGAAAGACAACTGGGCATGTTTAGCGTTGAGAAAAGAAAACGGAGGGAAGAAATGATAATGCCCTTCAAATACTTGAAAGGTAGTCATGGAGAGGAGAGGCAGGGTCTGTTCTCAATCATCCCAGAGTGCAGGACATGTAATAATGGGCTGAAGTTATAGGAAGCCAGATTTTGCCTGAATATCAAGAAAAACATCTTCACTGTTGGGGCAGTACGACAAGGGAATTACCTAAGGAGGTGGTGAACTCTTCAACGCTGAGGACACTCAAGGGAAAGTCAAACAGCCATCGGTCAGATATTTGAACGGATTTCTGCACTGAGTAAGGGGGCGGACTCAATAGGCTTATAGGTCTCTATTATTCTATGATTCTTCTATTTGAATCTTATGCCCAGTTTGAGACTGCTGCTCTACACCAAATCTTATGAAGCTAAATTTATATAGGGAATGGTCCAACTGGGCAAGGCTGCTGGGGCAAGGAAATACTGTTTTGTGGAAGGAGAGCGAATGAGGATTGGAAAAACAAAACATGGGTAAATGAAATAAGAGGCACCATGACAAAGAAAAGATGTCTGAGCAAAAGAAGAAAACATAGCTTGACTGGAAGGAGAAACACTAGAACTCGGGCAAGTAAATTGTGAAGGAATTACTTCTCAGCACTTAAGATCACAAGCACAGAAGAAAGTGTCCCAGAATAGAACACTGTCAGAAGCTGTTGTCCAAGGCCAACTGAAGCTCAGAATAAGCCACAATGGCACTGACTTCCCATTGGGAATATAAATTGCTCAGGTGATGGAAAACAGAACAGATGCAGCATGGTAAAGGATCGTCCATTTTATTGCCTTGTTGACCACTACTTAATGGAGGGCATGAATGTTTATATTCCATAAGCTCATCCTATTAACCAAATCCATTGACATATGTTTATTTCCTAACATTAATGCTTCCTTTAAAATGCAAGCAAGCAAGCAAGCAAACAAACAAACAAACAAAAAACCTCTTGAGAACAAATATTTTAGCTGTGTATTGAAGAACAACAAAACCTACAGTTAGGGTTTATACACCCTCTCAAAGAAAGAAATTTTAAAAATCCCAGAATAAAATCATACACCTTCCTCTTTCTCTCATTTCCTGGGAAAAGGGAGCCAGAAGACAACAAATGAGTCACTGCATCAACTTTTATGGAAAAGATATAAAGTTAATGATATTTTGAAATGCTTCCACTTTTACTTTAAAAAAGTGATTTGATTAGATTTCTGGAATGTATTGTCAGCATAAAAACTGCATATGCACAGTGTTAATCTGAGTATTTATTTCAAAATACACTGTAACTACTTTCAGGCAGCTGCAGTTAGTGTGAGCAATTTCTCCCTCTGTTTCATTGATGTCTAAAATTATGTTTATATGAATTTTCTGCAAATGACAAAAGCAGTTTCAGAATCTCCTTTCTTTCTTTCAATGTCTGCAAAGACAGATTGAAAACAGTGATGTCTCTGAGGCAAGAGTGATCAGAAGCCTCCATAATTTCAGGCAAAAGGATCCACTCATTATTACAGGTTTCCATTTGTAACACTGATTATTTAACTCTCTTCTATGCAAATCATGTCCTGCTTTCACCAGACAAGCATCATACTATCCGCATGCACACTTTTCAAATGCAAAAGTTCCCAGAGTCAGCCGGTTTAGCACACTCTTTAGCTTCAACTAAATACAAACACTATCAAATAGATTTACAGTGGTGCCCCGCTTAACAATTACTCCGTTTAACAATGAAACTGCTTCATGATGTGTGTTTTGCGATCGCTATTGCGATCGCAAAATGATGATTGAATTGTTGTTTTTTCGTTTCACGATGATCGGTTCCCTGCTTTGTGATCCGATTTTTCGCTTTATGACAATCAGAAGACAGCTGATTGTCAGGTTTCAAAATGGCCGCCCGCTGTGCTTAGGACGGATTCCTCGCATTACAGGCACCAGAAAATGGCTGCCCTATGGAGGATCTTTGCTGGACGCTGAGGTATTTTGCCCATTGGAATGCACTGAGCGGTTTTCAATGCGTTTCAATGGGCTTTTTATTTTCGCTTGACGATTTCGCTCTACAGCGATTTCGCTGGAACGGATTAACGTCAAGCGAGGCACCACAGTACTTGTGCTGTAAATGTAAGAATATTATCTTCAACTTACCTCAAAAATTAGTGTGGCATTGGGAGGTATCTTTGGGGGGCTGCCAGCAGAGCCATAGGCGTATTCTGGTTTGCAGGTAATTTGACAAACCTCTCCAATTTTCATCGTTCCTACAGCAATGTCCCATGCTTTGATAACTTCACCTAAACATAAAGAGGGAGAATGTGTCCTAATTAGTAACATGTGCTTATGTTGTCATCAGTATGAATTTTTCAGTACTACTTTATTCATATGTTCTTTCAATACAATACAGAAAAATGCTGGAGGTTTAAGCCCAAACTGTGCCACACGTTTTAACACCTAGGACATCTTACCCCAGACCTGCCTCAATCTAACCAGGGGTCCTTTTCAAAGAAGCAAAACAACAACATAAAAATAACTTCACTAGACTCACTCCTAAATGGGAATTTTGAGGATTTTCCCGGACTCCCACATCCAAAATTCTGCAGGCAGAATTCTGGGAGTGGGAGCCTAAAAACAATAGGTTTGGGAGTAGCTGTCTCTACCTCCATGGTACTCCCCCTTCACACATTTTTGGGCTCGTCTGAATAACAATGGACCTGTTCTAGAGCCCCCTGGGAGTCACAATGCAATCTGGGATTTGCAACAGTTCATGAAAGCAATAAGGCTCTTTAGAAGGCGCTACCTTTGGAACTACTCCTCCCATGAACCCTTGCACATCCCACGTAGCACTGCAATCTCCCAGCATGTCCCAGGGCAGTTCAGATCCCACTCCCCGCAGAACTGAACAGCACATAGATGAGAGATCCATGGAGACAGGAAGAGCTGCTCTGAAATCTGCTTTTTTTGGGTTCCCACTCCCAAAATTCTGTCTGGGGGATTCTGGGAGACTTCTGGGAGTGTGAGTACAATAATTCAGGAAGTCTCATTCCTACTCACTCCTTTGAAATAACAGAACAATTAAATACCAACATGTATTTATAAGAAATATTTCACAGAACAGAAATTATTAAGCTCAGATGTGTTTTTACAGTTATATAAACAATAACAGAACACTGGTTTCAAAGTGAAACCCTGGTACTGAAAAACTATGCAGGGTTTTCTACATGTGAGGTGAAGAAAAGGACTGAGGATGAATATGGCATCCACTACATCCTCATCACCTTTTATCAGCAGAAAGTAACAGTGTGAGCCTTTTCTATCTACAGAAACTCTCTGAAGTAAGAATGTAGTTAATATAGTCTCTTTCAGTGCCAGGAGACAGCTGAAATCTGTGCAAAGAGGACAACATGCACATGGCTAATATTCAACTTTCCTGCATACCATTTGGAGAAGCCCTTTAATGACAGGGGGTGAATGTGACAGCAAATTCCCAGCTTCACACAAGATGCTTTTAATCTTATACGGTTCTTGTCATGTTAAAGGTTTTAAGTGAACTTGGCTATGGGAAAGGTGGCTGTAAAGAAATTATGAGGCACAAAAAAACAGATGTGAAGGTGAAATCGAACCATACAATTACAGTACTTGTTCACTTATTCTGTCTACCCTCCTTTTGTGTACTCACAACCAACAGAAACAATCCCCAGTCAATTTTGGATGAGTGACCCCTAAGCTCTCCTCCCTGTGATGATCCATTCCTTAAATATCTCTTTCCTTGAAAGCTCTATTGGGGTCACCATTGGTCACTTCTGACTTGATGGCACAGAACACTCACAAAGTTTTTTATTTTTAACCAGTTCCACTCCCCCAGTGAGTTTCCATGGCCAAGTGGGGATGTTCTCCAGCATCCTGTTCTCCAGCACCCTAGTCTGCTGCTCTGTCCACTACACTACACTGGGAATAAGAGCTTTAAATAATTGTAAAACAGCAACACATGAAAAAAAAAAGAACAATGGGGGAAGTCCAGACACAAGACAACAAGACCAAAAAGATAATTCATGGCTGAGTTAGTTTATCTAAAAACATACCCTGAGATATAGATTGCACTCTTTATTTGGCAGCCCACAGATCATACTCATGTGCATACAGTATTTGTAATCTCCCAGTATTAGCTACTGCCTCACTAACCACTTCAGCTAAGGGTTCAGAAACCGGGGTTACTTCATGGATGTATTATTCCTGGATTACTTGTTTAGTCCTAATAATATTCAGAGTATAAAAATCTAGACTGGGGACTGTACACACTATTGCTGGGCAAATGAGTAATGAGAATTGTATAATCTCTGAGTAGAATTTGGATGCTGAAATCTGATGGAAAGTGCATTGGATTGGGTGCAAACTTTGCTAAAAATAAAGTGCACAGGATAAAATCCTATTTGAAAACACATGCATGTAAGGGTAATAACGCAAGTCTTTTCTTTCCCTGTGTTTGTCCTGGCCATTGTGTAACTGGGCAAGCAGGGAAGGACTGGACAACATGATAGACAGCCCACAAAACATGTTCCATCACTTGCACAACTTTTCTTGCACAATCACTTCTATCAGCAGAACTCTAGTTCTGTAGTCAAAGCACAAAATATTAATGGCAATACACAAATACATGCATGAGAACACAAATATGTCTATCTTCAAGGAAAAAATGGAACTATTAGGAACTAGGTAAAGGTAAAGGTCCCCCTTGACATTTAGTCCAGTCGTGTCCGACTCTAGGGCGCGATGCTCATCCCCGCCTCCAAGCAGTAGAGCCGGCGTTTGTCCGTAGACAGTTTCCGTGGTCACGTGGTCAGTGCAACTAGACACAGAACGCCGTTACCTTCCCACTGTGGTGGTACCTATTTATCTACTCACATTTACATGTTTTCGAACTGCTAGGTTGGCAGTAGCTGGGGCAAGCGACAGGAGCTCACTTCGTGGCGTGGATTCAATCTTACGACTGCTGGTCTTCCAACCTTGCAGCACAGAGGCTTCTGCAGTTTAACCCGCAGTGCCACATAAAATAATTCAAGCTCAATATAAGAGTTGTTAAGGGCAATGAAAGGACACGGGGACTCACTTTCCACTGACCCTGAAAGTATGTTTTCAATCTTTGCTTATCTTTATGTCAGATAAACTGTATCAAGAAATAATATTATTCTTTTTAATAACTCATATGCATAAGACCATGTTAAAAGAACATGAAGTCTGTCTTTCTAAACCATCAAGGAGTTTGAGACTATGGAGGCTATTAAAATCATTATGCACAACATGATGAAATGGCTTTCTATAGGAATTTGATATGATTTGGGCTTCTTGTCAATTGTTTTTGATGAATCTCTCTGAAAAGATTTTAACAAATGCACATGGCAAAAAGCATGAATAGTACCAGTTTGTACAAAACTGGTATCTAAACCTAGTTAGAATACTAGTTACAGGAATTCTATTATGCATTCTCTCTCCTTAATCAAATGGGTAGGATGTTTACTACATAGTGCAACAATTTAATCAAATGATATATAATTATCTTATGACTGACCAAAATATATTTATTCCAGAGAGAATTGCTATATGCAACATTGACTATTTCACTAAAAGTAATGTCCATCAGTGCAAAAAGAGATTTATTAAGCATTCTATCTTTTTTGTTCCTATTTTCTGTGTAAAAATATCATTAAAGTTTTATTACGTGTTTATGTGCATCATGCAAATTATCCATATTGATCATGCTACTTTATTGTATTTCTATCAAGCAGAAATACAGTGAAATAGATCAGTCTTAACAAAATTTAGCAACTGCATTTGTGAAAACTATTCTTGATTCTGCTCAAGTATACAGTAGCTGGACAGCACAAAACAACAATTAAACTCTGTTTCTATGATGAGAATACATTTTTATGAAAATGTGTGACACAAAGAGCATCAGTACTACAAGTGAAGAAAGGAACCATTGTTAAGTATAGAGTATACAACGCATTGTTTTCAGAGATACTATTAACAGACATGCTATTGCGTACCAAGCACAGAATACAATACCTTTCCCAAAGTCAAATGAGAATTTGTCCTTTCTGTCCCGGCTTGAGTCAAACTTTGTGCCATCTAGAAGCCACCCAGTATAATGAACAGTCACTTTATCACCTATCATGGGACATTCTGTCCCTGTCCCTTCTTTCTTGATAATCTGTAGGAGGAAACAAAGCAATATTTAGTGGAACAATATTTATCTGAATATTCCAAGAGGCAAAACTAGATGTATTAGAAAGAGAAATTAATTTTCACAGCTTCCCATCAAAACGTCACTCAATAACTATCACCAGTTTGCGCTCTGCAGTTCTTGGATGTAAAAGACACTGCAAAAGTGCAAAGTACCTTGGCAGAATTTTTCTACATTATTATACCTGTCACAGTCTTCCCAGCCATGCCCTGTCTTGGGATCAAATCACCATAAACCCAAGGCCGGTATGACTGTGAGAGTTTGCTCTGGATTCCCTTACTCTCTGTAACACTGCCACCATTCCTTTCAGGGGAAAAAGAGAGGTTACTTACCTATAACCATGGTTCTTCGAGCGGTCCTCTGTGAATCCAGAGGATTGGAATATTCTAGAGCTTGGAATATTCTAGAGCTTAAAACATGTGATTAATAGTACAATGCCCCATGGTGTGCATGCTCTGCCCGTCTGTAATACCTCAGTTCCGAATGTCCGCCGCTAACAAGGCTCTGACTGTAAAAAGATTCAAGAACCAACTGACAGACAACGGGGAGGATGGGCGGGATGTGTGGATTCACAGAGGACCACTCGAAGAACCATTGTTACAGGTAAGTAACCTCTCTTTCTTCTTCGTGGCCTCTGTGAATGCACACAAATGGGTGACTAGCAAGCTCACTTACTGGAAGGCGGGCCGTCACGCCAATAACGAAGTCAGCATAGCCCTTCCAAAACTTGCTTCCTTGTTGGACCTGGGGTCCAGACAGTAGTGTGTCACAAAGGTGGACGGTGTGGACCAGGTAGCTGCTTGGCAAATGTCTGAAATGTCAACACCACACAATGCCAGTCTCTGATGCTTCACCAATGTCATTGCTGTTACATAACAGCACTGATGTTACCTGCTTCACCAATGTCATTGCCTCTTGGTGGGCATTGAGGACTGTAGCTCGAGTTTCTTCAGGGGCAGTTTGGAGAATGGGCAGAACCTTGCTCCACAACTGCCTCTGATACGCCCCCATTGCTGCCTGATAATTTGATACCCGCAAAATGAATGAGGCTAGAGAATAGTCTACAACCTAAAATGTCCACTTTCTGACCTTCCCTATTAGTAGGAGTAACCTTGGAACGGTTCCCAGCCCGAAATTGTTGGATTGAACGATTATGGAATTGGGTGCAGGATGCTTGATGAGGAAAGCAGTGTCATTTCCGTGTGTTCTGTAATGGTTTTCTATGCATCTAGGAATTTACAAAGATGTAAATGGCTGACTCCACGATTCCTTAATGAGATCCAGCATTGCTGGAATGAATGCTAGGCTTAATGGGGTAAGTCATGCTCCGAAATTGATGACACAGAAGAGCCCCTCACAAGAGAAAGAGGAGGAGGTGGTGATAAACAGTTCTCAATGCCTGGGCGGGGGCTCAAAGAGATGCCACTGGAGTGCCCGCTTTAGGCTGATGATAGGCCTGTGAAAAAGCCGGTTGATGAGCAGGTGGAGTGTGGGAACTGCTGTATTGAGAGACAGAGGAGGTTGGTACCAAAGTAGTATGGGACCTCTTTGCTGTATGGATTACTTGCTGAAGAATGTCCTTGTGCAAGGAGTGACGTTTAGCAGTCAGCTTCGAAGACTGAGGCTCGAACTGATAACAAGTTCGATGCCAACGTCAAGGGGGAGAGGGCAACCGGCAGGAAGAAGACGCGTAGTTGTACCGCACTCTCTTGGTCCTCACATCGTCTCTGGTATCATAATAAGGGTCAAGGCCGAAATCATCATCCCAGTACTGACTCTGCTCCCCCTATGATCGACCTTCACATAAAAAGACTGCTTGTACTCAGAATAAACTCAGTGCTGGGAAGGGTGAGGAAGAGTCACAACCTCTCAATGCTGAGGGTATTGTCAAGCTGGAGAGGTGTGCCAATGTTTGGTCACTCGCTTCCTTGGAGGAGACTGTTGTGGTGATACCTCTGCATTTGACAGACAAACTACTGTTGCCCGTCCGATACACATAGGGCTCTAATGGGCCGAGGTTGGGCTGGAGAAAACATCAGCCTCAACATGGCCATGGCTCGGAGACTGACTCAGTGTTGAAACCGAAGCCTGAGCCTGTGGAGGTGGCATGGAGCTGATCCCCTCTGAAAGGGAGTCCGGATCTGGTAGGTCTTGAGATGATTCCTCAAGCATGGGCGATGGTAGTGAAGTTGGCACTGGAGGAACCTCTCGCAGTGGACAGATTTTGAGGAATGCTCATCATTCTTCTGTTTACTGACTATCTTCTTTTTCTTATGGCCCTCTCCAGATGGTAGCGTATTTTTCGCTCCATAAGACGCACCTCTCCATAAGACGCACCAAATTTTTAGGAGAAGAAAACAGGAAAAAATCTGTTTTCTTCTCCTAAAAATTGGTGAGCCTTATGGAGAGGTCCGTCTTATGGAACACAACCTAGGACCCTTTGGAGGCTCACCCAGACCCCCTGAAGGCCAGAGGGGGCAAAATCACCACCTTCTGGGGCTCTTTTGAGGTTTGGAAAGCTTCAGAAGAGCCCCAGAATGTGGCAATTTTGCCCCCTCTAGCCTGGTGGGGGGGCAGGGTGAGCCTCCAAAGGGTCCTAGAGTGTGTTCCAGGACCCTTTAGAGACTCACCCTGCCCCCCCGAGGGTCAGAGGGGGCAAAATCACCACCTTCTGGGCTCTTTTAAGGCTTGGGAAGCTTCAAAAGAGCCCCAGAAGGTGGCGATTTTGCCCCCCTGGACCCGTGGGGGGGTGGGGGTAGCGTGGCAAGGGTCCGAGGGGGCCTTCCAGACCCTTGCCACGCTAACCCCCCCCCACGGGGCCAGCATGGGCGAAATAGCGACCTTCCAGGACCTTTTGAGAAGCTTTCCAGCCTCTCAAAAAGTCCTGGGAGCTGGCGATTTCACCAGGGCTGGCCCCGTGGGGGGGTGGGGGCAGCCTGGCAAGGGTCCTGGGAGGCTCCCTCGGACCCTTGCGACGCTCCCCCCCCCCACGGGGCCAGGGGGGGCGAAGTCACCACCTTCGCACCATAAGA